CCTTCTCGACCTTCTCCGAACCTTCCCGCAGGTTGCGCTGTGGGGAGACCGCGCCGCCGAGATGCCGCGCGCGATGCTCGCCTCCTCCGCCGACGGACTCGCCCTGCCGGAGGACGGCGGCGCGGACGACCCCGGCTACACGCTCGGCGCCTTCGCGTGGGGCGCCGTCTGGCTGGACTCGTTCGCCGCCGCGCTGGCACTCCGCGAGGTCCGCAAGGCGTCCGGTGGAAGGTTCCGTGAACCGTCACGGAACTTCCGCGTAGGCGCACCGCGAGACGCGCGCGGCGCTCGGCCGCGGCGGTGGCCGCAAGGGGGGGACAGCGGTCGTGCTCGGCGCGTCGCTCGGCTACGAGGCGTACGCGATCGGCCTCTCGCACGGCATCCGCGAGATAGCCGAGATGTGGCCGAGCTGTGGCCGAGATGTGGCCGAGATGTGGCCGAGATGTGGTCGGTCTCTTGCGTGGGAGGCGTCGTCGGCGTCGGAGTCGTGAGTTGGCTGATGGCGCAGTCTTCCACGCGCAGGCGTCCGCACCGTCGGCGTCGAGCTGCTCTGCTCGCTGCGCGACCTCGCCGAGCAGGTCCGCTCTGACCGGAGGGTCGTGCCAGACCTGGTCTCGTTCGAGTGCGCCACAGCCCGAGGCAGGGCTGGAGGGTCGCTGCTCCCTCGTGGAGGGAGAGGGCGCGTGCCCGGCCCGCGTAGGTGCGCCGACGCGCTGTCGTGGCGCTTTCCGAAGGACACGCGCCTCGTCTACTGCGACGACACGGCCTGGGACGCCCACGCGATCCAAGGCAGCCTCGCCACTGCCCGCCGGGCGACACACAGCCGCTCCGTCCGTCAGCGGGTTGCCCAGCGCCCCCTCCCGCAGGCCTCGCCTAGAAGCTCGGTCAGACCTCGGCCAGACCTCGGCCAGGCCTAGCCAGACTTCGGCCGTATCCCCGACAGGCCTCGCCAAGAAGCTCGGCGACGAGCTGCCGGCCGGCGTCGTCGTGCTGCACAACCAGCCGCACGGCTTCAACGCCGACCCGCGCTTTAAGCTGCTGCAGGTGGTGGAGGTCGCAACTTCGTGGAACACGCGGCACCCCCTCATCGTGCACATGACGCAGCCGGCCAGCAGCGCGGCGCGCGCCGCCCTCAAGGGCGAGCTGTGACGCGGGTGTGCCGGGGTTGGCGCTGTACCCATTCCCGTATCGAAGTCCCGTACCCAGTCCCGAGCGCGCATTCCTTCCTTTACAGAGGCTCCCGAAATTCTTTTTGGGGGCGCGCCGCCAGGCGCGTCCCCACTTTTGTATCACAGCTGCGAGGGCCAACCAAGGGATTCGGCGCGTCAAGTTAACTTGACCGCTCGTTCGGGCTTTGGGCCGCAGGCCGGCGCGCAGCGCCACGCCGCCAGGCGTCCGCCGGAGGCCCGCCGGAGGCTCTTCCTGCGGCCACATTCTGGCAAGATTCCGCCGCGCTCAGGCGCCCAGAGGATGCGTGCGCTGCGCTCAAACGTCGCGATTTGGCAATAGGCGCTCGAGCCGGCGCACAGCGGACGGGTGCGCCGCGCAGGGGGGGTCGGAGGGGTGCGAGAGGGGGCGTGGGTCAGGCGCGCACCGGCCGGCTCCGGGAGCGGCCGTCACGTCGAGGAGGGGGGCTGTCGGCGGCTCGAGCGGCGAGGCGTGCCACTCTGCTTCGCCGCCGACAGCCCCTCTTCCGAGCCGGCGCGTGGCGACGAGCCGCGGCCAGTGTCGCTGGTTCCTTTGGCGGCGCAGCGTTTATCCCCCCCACCAGGAGTTCGCATGCCCGATCGGACTACAGATTTCTGGTTCTTTAACTATTATAAGTGTCGTGACCTTTGCCCTGGTAGTGCCTCATATACCCTCTCTTGGGCTGCCTCCATAGTCTAAGTGTACTCTTTGCACT